ACTCTTATTTTCTGTTTGCTAGGTGTCTGCCCTTTTTTGAGGAGTGGAAAGGGGCTTTTGAATTATTGTTTCTAACATGCTGCTATAGTGATAGAAGTCCCTTACAAGAGTCTCTCTTCAATCACTGTAACCTCCTTTTACTGTTATAATTATGATTTTGTCAAAAGATATCATTACCATTGTCTTTATAAAAACGTGACTTCCCAGTGACTGTAGAGGATCAGATCCCATGAACATGTTCTAAAGCCAGTAAAAGCATCTAGATAACGGTGTACCTACAAAAACAGTTTCATTTGAGACACGCCCTGCTTCTTGCCATTCTGGCTCTCTTGCAGCAGAGTCCAAATTCATGTTTTTGTAGAATTATCAAGCTGTACATGCAACAGCATCTTGCTGGCTGTTGTATATGGTGCATCCCATAATAAACATTTTCAAGACTGATAATCAATGGACCTATCCTCTGTGAATGATTTTGCCTTCAAAAGCAAGATCAGTTATCTGGCATTAATAGTGTAAGTAAAAAGTCCATCACTAAAACTGTTTGTTCTCTGGTGGACAGATTGCAAGATCTTTATATGATATGCCATCAAGCTCCAAGCACTTACTTTGGCAAACTGCTATCAGGTATGGAAATTTCAGCTGTGGAAATCTACCCCTTGCCTTTTTCACAATTATTGATCCATGCCTCAACCAGTTTGTTATTTTTACTCTACTTGAGCTTAAGATGCTTCTGTCATGGGTTCTTTAAGGGTTGGGGGTTTTCTTTTTGCAAGTATTTTTGCCTTCTTTCTATTATCATTAGTGCTGATGTTCCAGTCAGTGTCTGAAACTTCCCTTTCCTCTTAAAGACAAGTTTTTTTAATAAAAGCCTATCTATACCTGCAGCTATTCTTCAGCATTTCCAGCTTTCACTACGCAAATGCTATCTGGCATAACTGTAGAGATAATCTTGTTTTTCAGATCAGGAGTTCACATTGCTTGTACTTCCTGAGCCAAAGTTACACCCTTGGTTAAATTTTTAGCTGGCAGAGGCATCTATCTTTTCCTGTCTCTCAAAAGCTTCTGCGTGCACAACTGCTCCCAATAGTATAGATGTTGTATCTATAGTATATCATGCTACCAATTCTGGCAGTAACAGAAATCTCCATGTTGTTATAAGATCTCTTGGCATATCATCCTTACAAAACTTAATATTGTATACAGGACCTGTGGGGTTTCTCACTTGCATGTAATGTGCAGTTATCTGCTAACATAATATCATGAAGTTTGCTCACTTTGTGGGAGAGGAGAGTAATGAGCTGTGTGCCAGAGTAATGTTCAGTGTTCATCTGGAAAAAATCAGTTGACTCGTTAGTGTAATAAAGTCAAAAGATTCTCGGTGAGTTATAACACCGTATTCCTTGCACACTGTTTCGGGGAGGCAGAGGGGACAGGACTGACACGTGTGCGTGTTTATCAAAGTAGCTTAGTCTCCTCAAAATATGATTTCCTATCTCAGAACCTTAGATGATGAAGCCAACTGTGTCTTAGTCTCTTGTGTTCGACAGAGCTTCTGGTCTCAGTAGTGTATTCTTAAGTTACTTCTGTATTAATTCATGAATCTGGTGAAATCGACTCCTTTACAGTTTCTATCTTAATGAAATTTTACCTTAGGATAAATTTTATCTTATGATCTTAGGGATATAGAAACATCTTACATTGTGATGTATTCTGTTTTAGCCCTTTAATTTCCATAATTTTCTTGGGTTTCCTTAGAACTAAAAAGTCTGTAACAAAATTTGTACCTTCCCCCCAGAAGCATAGCAAATTGGGACAGTGAAATATTCCACGATTAACATTCTGCTGTGAGGAAACAAGTTGTTGTTCTTCTTTTGGACTTAGCTAGTTTTGATCTATACTGGTATTTGCCTACACTTTGAGTCTTTTACAAAGCTAAAATGTCAATGGTCATTTGATTGTCCTTCATGAAATATTTAATTGATGCATCCATTTATGTGTAGATGTGGCGCCTGGGACATGGTTATGAATCTGGTGAAATCGACTCCTTTACAGTTTCTATCTTAATGAAATTTTACCTTAGGATAAATTTTATCTTATGATCTTAGGGATATAGAAACATCTTACATTGTGATGTATTCTGTTTTAGCCCTTTAATTTCCATAATTTTCTTGGGTTTCCTTAGAACTAAAAAGTCTGTAACAAAATTTGTACCTTCCCCCCAGAAGCATAGCAAATTGGGACAGTGAAATATTCCACGATTAACATTCTGCTGTGAGGAAACAAGTTGTTGTTCTTCTTTTGGACTTAGCTAGTTTTGATCTATACTGGTATTTGCCTACACTTTGAGTCTTTTACAAAGCTAAAATGTCAATGGTCATTTGATTGTCCTTCATGAAATATTTAATTGATGCATCCATTTATGTGTAGATGTGGCGCCTGGGGACATGGTTTAGTGGTGGACTTGGCAGTGTTAGGTTTATGGTTGGACTCGATGATCTTAAAGGTCTCTTCCAACCTTAATGATTCTCTGATTCTATATATTTGAATTGAAAGGTCTCAGAAACCCAGTTTCCCTTATGTGGAAGCAGGCTGGTTAGATCTGCCATGTCATGGTCACCTTGTTGTTTAGACATCCATTTGTTATCAAACTCACATAGAGCTGACTGGTCGGTAATTCTTTAGTTTCATCCTCTAGTGCCTTCTAAAACTATAGGTCTGTGTTTTCCCAGGTAGAGTTTCTAGGATTTAAAGGTGGACTGGCAAGCTGTGAGTTAAAGCAGGACGCTTCATGAAGGCCTTGACTGTCCCATTCTGACTGGAAGAAGCCTTGAGTCCACCCTGACTGGATAAAGCCTTAAGTAGCCCACTCTGATCCCATAACTGATCCTGCTTTGAGCAGGAGGTGGAACTAGAGACATCCTGAGGTCTCTTCCCACCTGAACGATGCTGTGATTCTTGATTCTATGATCTTAAGTTAATGAACAATTTTATATAAAAATTACTAGGTTGCTTCTGGATAACATTAGTAAGATGTCTGAGGAACTTCTACACTGCCTGTGATCAGGCTTTTGCTGCGTTTGTCATGCTGCAGTTTTCTTACCTGTCAAGAGAGGATCGCTTTACTCGAGTCATCTTGAGGTTCTAATAGCTATTAATTGGTCAATTTGATAAGTGCTTTGTAAATGCTAAGGAATTTGTGAATGCTAATGAAATGGCCTTTCTCTCCTCTTTTAGTATAATATACGCATCCTCTTACATTACAGGTTCATGACACTAGAAGAAACTATACAGTATTATTGCCTAATCAGGTGTTGGAATCTTTTAGTGCGAATACCAAAAGCAATGTGTGAGCTGACTTTGAATGACAAGCAGTAGGAATGGGATCTTTGGCATCTGGAGAGGGACATCTGTGCCTAGGTTGATGTCAGTTTAACACAGGAGTGCTTCCCAGCTTCTGGGCCTGTGCGTATACCTTTGCTGTGGTTCAAATTTATTGTCTGGGCATGAGTTAACTGAGCCATGGGAAATTTGGAGGGGGTTTATGATCAAGGGGATTACAGCCGTGTAGGTTGGACAGGGATCTCCTGGTGGTTGTAGGGGGACAGGGGCTTTGTTTTGCATGTCTCAGCAGGCGGTTTAGATGCAGTTTGAAAGATTTGGGATTACCGGATGCTGACTTCCACTAAATCCTGAACTCTGTAAGAGAAGAGAGCGGCTTCTACATGAGGTAGTGCTGGTAAGGCAACTGGCTGCACCTCACTTTTTAGCCAGAATATGCTTCTTCCCTCCTGTTTTCTACAAGTATGGTGACTCTCTGATTGAAATAAGAAAACTACAGTCTTGTAAATCGTACTGAAAACTTTACTTGCCCTGATATAATCAGTTTCTTAAAGAGTTAGTATTTGTCTGTTAGTTACATTAGCATAGTTTCTCCTCTTAGAGAGCACTTCTCAAACTTGTGGAGATCATGATTTAATTCCTATGCATTTTCTTGGAGTTTTTGCTTATATTAACAATATTTTAATACCATTTTTAAGATGCAATATAAAAATAAAATATGTATAACACTGTAGATACAGCTGCATGGCTGTTGTTTTAGAACAGGTTTGTTCCTAGCTGTTCTTGTGTCTGGGGCAGTGTCTTTTAGAATCTGATTTCTTCCTGTTACTTGCTTTGATCTGTTTAGGTAACTAATATTTGATTTTAAACTGCGTTTGCTTTGCAGTTTGGTCACTGTTGAATTTCTGCTGTATGCAAACAAGCAAGGAATTTAAAAAGTTTTAGCAAATCCATAAAAGCAGTGCTTAGTGGCTGATGTGCACAACTAATACTTGTGGATCAGCAAGACCTTTTGTTTTTTAGATGTAGTTTGCTACAGTAGGTGGTGGAAACATCTATCAAAAAGAGTGGAGAACGTTTTCTGGAGCAAATATTAATAATTTTGTACTGCTTTGTTCATTATACTTTCTAAAGAGCAAAGCTTTTGGCATTTCTTCTGGTAGAGGCTGTATAACAGTATATCTTTAAGTAGGTGTTGCTAATAAATATATTATGCGTTTTGCAAAATTTAGTCATACTTGGAGGCACCAGTGTAAATAAATCCCTTTTATGCTTCAGACATTGGTAGATATTTTTTTCTTTTGGTTAGCATCTTAGACGTTAGCCAGTATTTTTCACCAATTCCTTAGGCTTAAATGCATTCCTTATGCTTAAACTCTTAAATGTCTGTGCATATATTTAAGGAAAAGATAGAAAGAACAAGAAAACAGCCTAATGCAGAGCATTTGGCTCTATAGCTCAAGTCAAATAGACTTGAAGTTGTTTCCAAATTTATTCGTGCTGTATAATCTGATTTCTGTAACAGATAGAAATAGTGGCAAAGTAATTATGAGTACGCTGGGATGACTGTGAAAGATGAAGTCTCATATAAGGAGTAAAATACTGTATTCATACAAAGTAGTTTTATAATGTAATCGAATCCTATTTTTTCCATCTCTTAGATGATGAAGCATGCCTGGGACAATTATAGGCAATATGGATGGGGACATAATGAGCTCAAACCAATTGCCCGGAAAGGACATTCCACCAACATATTTGGTAGGCTATATTTTCTGGTTTGTTTGGTTTTTTTAAATATTTCTGTCCATGCTATCCTCTTTGAAAGTCTACCCAAACTTCCTAGCAAATTCTGTTTTAATGTAAATCTTTTGAAGTGTGGATGACAGAAGTGTATCAATTATTTCAATGGTACTTCAATGAATTACTTTACTAAACTATCTTTTGGGGAGTAATATGTTGTTACTGTTGCAAAAGCTAAGCTGTGTCTGTGCACTGTTACTTTGTGTACACATATATATAAATAAAAGTTACAATGCATTGATGATATTTTGGGATGCAATGAATATAAATCTGTTTTTAAAAAAACAACCTCATCTTGTCTAGACCTTTGTGTTTAATTCCATGAGACTGTGATACAAGACAAAAATGCATGTGCAAGATGCTGAAAAACTGCTAGTACCAAGATGAAATTTAAAATAGCTTCTAGAAGAAGATCTGCATAAGGTGAAAGTGACATTGTTACTTGGTGTGTGACTTGTGGATCCTGAACCTGTAGACCAGAATGAAAGAAAAAAACGACATTCAAGATACAGGAGTTGGAGGGTAGGGGCAAGTTCTGAAGAAATTCAAGGGATGGAGTGAGAATATTTGAGCAATGGAGTGTGAATGAGTGTTACAAATGGCATTTAGAATAGTATGACACATGAAGAAGGTAAAGATCAAGAAATTAAATAACTTTGTGTTGCGTATGTGTGAGCAGACTAGATGTCTTTTCTTCCTTAAAATATCAGTGATCTGCAGCTGTACTGCTTTTTTGGTGTAAATGCACTGGGATAGAATAAGTAGAATGCTGATTGGAAAGTGACAAGCATTTTATTGGTACTCGAACCAGGAAAGGATCCATTTTTTTGTCCCCAGTTCTGTAGGACTGATGGTTCAAAAAACCTGGTTGTAACTGTTGAGGACTGAGCACTGGAGGTTCTCTAGGTTCATCCTCTGGTATAGCAAAACACATAATCTTGATGTTAGTGATTAAGGTTAAGCCTGGATTGGTCCAGAACGCACAGCACCTAAGATGACTGAGCCATGAAGTTCATACTTCATGAACTATTTATTTTGAAATGCACACAGGAGAGCTGCTCTAAGACTGGGTAGGATTTTTTAAATTCTGTTCAGGGTTTTATACTGTGTTCATCCACTCTCTGGTATCTGGGGAAGGTACAAATTTATCATAACCACTTTTTTACTTCAAGAATGAGTGTGAATATACTGTGTATACCTTAAGTATTGTTAGTATTGGTTATAATAGTTTGCTTGAAATGAAGATTTTATTGGCTTTTATTGTAAGGCAGTTGGCTAATAACTTTGTGTGAGGTTGGTTCTCACTGTAATTGGTATTTGTTTTGTTTATCTTGCTTTAAACCTTGAATTTGTTTCTTGTGGATGATAGAAATACAGATTAGGATTGGGTAAGTGTCTAGTTTTCTGTGTTTAGTGCCTGAACCCAGGAAAATTATTTTGACTTAAATCAAAATTTGATTAGTTTTGTTTTCGTTTTTTGTTTTCATTCATAGGGAAAAAGTAAACTCCCAGAGGAAATTCATTCCAAAAGAAGAGTGAAAGGACTTGTTTCAAAAGTATTGTAATGCTTAAAGGGATTTTTAATTTTTTGCTCTGTCCCTTCCCCCGATCTCCTTAAATTTTATCTTGAAACCGTTCTTATATCTTACCAAATAAATAAGTGGTTTTCTTTATATCCAAACAGTTTTTCATCAAATTTATTTGCATGATGAACTTCAACCTCAAATAGGTGCTGGACATGGAGAAGGGAGGAGAACTCTAACTAGGCACACTGCTCCTTTCACCTGCTCCCAGCAATGGAAGGAGAGCCTCTGAGTTAAATTTTCTGCAATACTTAAAAACAAACAAAAAAAAACCCCAAACCACCCACAAATACACCCCCTCCCCCCAAACCTGTGGTGCGTAGAAGCCTATTTAAATCCATAGGAGAGTAACTTCAGCTTCTGTACAAGCCCTGTCTGCAATAAGGATTGGTGCACCTTTACTGCAAGCAAACCCCTTGGAGCCTGACATTGATGGCTTTTAGTCATGCACTGGAACCTGGTTTCTTACACTTCAGCGTGGTGTGAAGACTGATACTTGCTTCACTTCTTTATATGCCTTTATAAAGAAAATGACTGGGTCAGGTGAAGTTGTCGGGGGGGGTGGGGGAAGATGGGCAAGTTAGCATGCTCAGGAGGAAAAAAGTACCTGGATGGGATGAGGAGTTTGAAGAGTGAAATGGAAGAGTCTAAGATGCAGCCAACACTGAGCATAGGGCAAGGAGAGAGTGTGAGACTGAAGGGGAAGACCAGAGCAACAGGCCTCTGCTGTGACAGACAGAAGGACATTTCTTAGGTTCCCAGAGAGTATTGTGTAGTATTCTTAGATAATTTCTCTTTGCTACCTTGTACATTGGCACTGCTTTCCCTTCTACTAGAAAAATCTCTTCTGATGAAGCCCGTGATTTAATTGTACGTTACCTCTAATTCATGGCTTTCCTTTATATTTTTTGCAGCTGATGAAGTTGGGTCTGACAGTGAAAATCTTTGTGCAAATGTTCACCTGTATGATCATGTAGTCTTTGCTATTGAATTTACATGCAATTCTGTTGCTTAATTTGCCAAGTATAATTTTAGACCAGTCTTGGTTTGTAACCCAGACTCTCTGTGAAGTGAGGTTTTTTCTTTATATGGCAGGAAAACGTTTTTCTAATGTTTGTTTTTAATGTGACTGACAAAATATTTTGAAGCAATTTTGAATTACAGTTTTACTCTAGTCTTTTATTTTCTTTCTATTCCTCCTCTGCTTACTTCTAACATGTCTCCTAATGAGTCTGGAGGACTTCTACTTTTTTTTTCTCCGTGGAATGCTTATTCTTCGGAATGCTTATTGTTTGGAGTTTTGGCATTGCTGTCAGAAAGAAATTGCAGGCTTCCTCCACATTTAAGTTTCTGATCCTCTTATTCCAGCTAACTCTAGCAGCTGATTCCCTAAGTGTTTGTCCTTTTGAAAATCCAGATGCTATCTTGTGCCATTTAATTTTTAGCCATATCATGTTATGATTGCTCTGTTCAAGGTTATTTCATATGAAAAACTTTTCTGAAATACATAGTCTTCAGTATATACCAAGTCTAAAATAGAATCGGCTATTGTTATTTTGGTGGGTGGTTGATGGGAAGGGGGAAAGAAAAATTGGTCCTTGTACCGAGGACTGTCTAGGCTGCGTTGTTGTTGTTAGTACTTTACCAATCTCTGTTACCCATAATGACACCATTCCCAGTGGTATCTGCCTTTATAGAAGCATTACATAATTCTTTTTGAAATCTGATGCTATTTTTAATAAAAAGCTGCTCAGCAAAACCTGTTTTTATTATTCATCTCAAAGATTATTTGACCCCAACTATTTTCTGCCATTACTGTGGTCTGTTGTACTTCCATTTCAATTCATAGCACGTCTGTGAGATTCAGCAAGGAGATGGTATCGCTGGTTGACACTGCAGCCCTTTGCATGAATCTTTGGGAAATCAGGTTTACTGATAACTCTCAAGTGAGGTAAAAGCGATTCAATTTAGAAGGCAAATAAGCCATTAATCTTCCCTGTTGGACTCCCCTTTCCCTTCGAAGCATTGTATATCTATATCCCAGCATCGCAAGATCTAGCAGGGTTCAGGCTGGGGTCAGAGAAGGGGAGAAGAGGTGGACTGCTCTGCTCTCATAAATCTTAGTTTTAAGTCATTAAAAAAATAAGGAAAGGTGATAAACTTTAAAGCGAGATGCTCTTTGCCTCACTGAAGCATGCCAGCAAGAACATTTGTGGGCTGCCCCAATTATTAGTTTGACTTTTATAACAAAGCCTGCTGGGGTTGTTTTAGTTGACCTGCAACTAGAAACTCTTGCCAGTCTTTTCAAGATGTCTGACCTGATGACTGTAAATTGTAAAGCAGAACCTGCTAAAAGTGTTGCCTATCAAATTGTGTAGTCAGCCAGTAGTTAAAATCTTGAATAGTACCTCTTCAACAGCTGAGTCACAGCATTAGCAGTATGGTGCTGGTTTGGGAAAGTATGACTGGGAATTGGTGGGATTTTAAAGATGTTTACATTTAGATGACATACAAAATGAACCTTTATAGCTTCTGTGTTGGTGAAACAGGGTGATAACTTGCTCCTATTTTTGTGAAAGTTGCCTGTTTTTGAAAGGGCTGATAATCTCAAGATTTGTTATTTATTCCTACCCTGTAAGATAAAATAAAGTGTAAAAGGCAAGGAGAAAGTATAGCAGAGAGGTGTAATTTCTCTTTCCAGTTTAAATTTTTATTTGCAGCTCTGCTGGTGGTTGTAGCAGCTAAGCTAAAAAAATGTTAACTTTTTTGTTGGGCTGCTTAAATTGCTGGAATAATTTGATGACAGCCGCAGGGCGTTATTGCAGAGGTGGGGTTATATGGGAACTGGGTCAAGTTCTCATTAGAACACAAAGGGTGAAGAGAAAAGGCTGATGGAAAATGATGCCTGTAAGATAATGAACAAGCATGACAAACACTGAGCTTACTTCAGAAGGTTTTCTGGGTTTAGTGAAAACCTGAGTAGTTGATGGTATATTCGGGTTCTCTTGCTGTAATGAAATCTGATTGGATTTGCTTTTGAGGATCAGTGTTACTATCTGAAACGTGCTGCTTAAGGATGATTTGTCCCTGCATTTGTTTGGTGACCCCTAGGTGAACATCTTATGTAAATACCATTAAAATTACTAAGTCCAGATATGCCTCAGTTTTAAACTGTGTATTTGTGGCATCTTTTACTTCAATATCTTATGAACTAATTACTGTAGCACAAGCTTTGAGGATGCTTTATTGTAAGTTAAATTGAGCAGTTTGTACTAGTGGGTTTGTATCAATCTTCAATCTTTATTTTCTAAAACAATGTTTATTTGAGAACCTGAATGACTAAGGAAAAAAAAAAAAGGAAAAAAGCACAATCTT